AGCAGTGCCATCTCGCGGCCAGCCACCTCTCAGCCTCCACAAGCCGCAGGGGACTGTCCCCAGAGCCAGCCGCTGTGTCTCGGCCACCTCCTAAGGACAGCCAGCAGCCTGCCTCAGCACAGCGAACAGCGCCCGGCCCTTTTTAACCAGCTTTTCTAAAAGCTCGAAGCTCCAGAGCTGAGGTGCTGCCTTAGAGTTCAAGAGTACCGAGGTCTCTGGGAGCCAGAAGCAGCCCACCTTTGTCACTTTGGTCATTACAGCCCCGTTTATTGCCCCCCTTGCTTTGCTTTGCAGAGTTTGAGACCTGGTACAGAGAGTCCTTCCTTATCCCCAAGGACGTGCAGGAAGCACTGAGGCCCAACAGCAGCATCACACCGGGAATGATTCCCTTGAACAGGGTCACGTGCCTGGTGAGTTGACCCGGCAGCTCTGCTTATTCTCCTCAACAGCCGCACGCGGTGCGATAATGAGGTAACTCACGGTAACGAGGGTGCAGGTAAGGCTGCGGGAAGAGGAGGAGGAGGGCACGGCGACTTGGCAGAGTGGCCACCATCACAATTCTAACTGCTGAGACGCAGAGAGCAGTGATACTTGCTTTCACGTGAGCTTTACCACGAAGAGGCTAAAATAGGACAGAGCTGTTGAAGTACCCGGTCATCTGCTGACTCTGTCATCGGGCAAATTGCCCAGAGGCGCAGGGAGTAACTAGGAAGCTTGTATGGTCTGTAATGTTCACAGCTCAACTATCGTGTTTCGTGTTGTGGCAACTGGTCGTCAGCCAACCCTCTGTTCAGAAACCACCACTTTGTGGTACCCGGGGTCTTTTGTCATTGCTGACAGAGCACATTTCTCTTAAGCTTCTTGTGACGTCTTCTTCACATTATTCTCCTCTGAAGCCACGAGAGGTTTTGTCCTTTGTTGTTGAAGGCCAGGCTCAAAATCTTTGTGCTACAAAGATGATTGGGGGACTAGAACATCTCTCTCATGAAGAAAGGCTGAGGGACTTGGGGCTTTTGAGTTTGGAGAAGACTGAAGGAGGAAAGGAGGATCTTATTAATGCTTGTAAATACTCAAAGGGTGAGTGTCAGGAGGCTGGGGCCAGTCTTTTTTCAGTGGTGCCCAGTGACAGGACAAGAGGTAACGGGCATGAACTTGAATACAGGAAGTTCCATCTAAACATGAGGAGGAACTTCTTTACTTTGAGGGTGCTGGAGCCCTGGCCCAGGCTGCTCAGAGAGGGTGTGGAGTCTCCTTGGGACCTACTCCCTTCATCATCCTCGTAGCTCTCCGTTGGACCCGTCCAACGGAGAGCTACGAGGATGATGAAGGGACTTGAACCAGAGGGGGTGTGGAGTCTCCTGCTCTGGAGACTTTCCAACCCGCCTGGACGTGTTCCTGTAGGACCTGCTTGAGGTGATCCTGCTCAGGCAGGGAGGTTGGACTTGATGATCTCCAGAGGTCCCTTCCAACCCCAACCATGCCGTGATTCTGTGACACGACAAAGTGATGCGCAGCCAGGAGGGAGGTCCCACCTTGGCTTTGAGGGGCAGCCAGCCCTTTGCCTGTGGTGTAACGTCTCCGTTCTTGCTGCTTAACCTCTGCAGGTGGCAGGGAACAGCTGGTGGGGACAACTCCTAGGTCCATCTCTCCCAGGAGCCTGTCCCCATCAGGAGAGGGGCCCACCCACAGGAGTTTGGGGAAGAGAGTAAGCGGGGTGGGAGTTCTGTGACCCCTTTCCTAAATGCTCAGCCTCGTTTCTAGACAGAGGGTAGTGGGGGGCAGGATGGCTTTGGCTTTTTAGAAGGAAAATGGAAAAGGAACTCTCTTGTCTCCAAGCGTCTGATTATTTTGACTGGAAATCTCAGCGAGGCATTTTCTTTACTCCCTTCTAGCAGGGCGTGCAGAGAGCCTTAAAGCTGATCACTGACAGGTTCTTCCCATCCTCCCGAATTAATTCCCTTGAGGAAAGTATGAGTAACAAACACGCCGTGAGGTTAAAACCCACAAATGTAGCGTGTTTGCTTTTCAACAGACCGTTGTGATCTACCAGCCCGTAGGAGATTCCAGGTACAGACACAGACCTGTGCAGGAAAGAGCAAAAATCCCAAACCCCTTTGGGATAAAGCCTCGGGAGGTCAACGGGAAAACCCGGACTGACTGCACGGGTCCAGCTCCTTGGGGAAAAGAGGGAATCCATCACTAGTCACTTTTACTAACCCAGATTACTCAACGTATTCATAGGAACTCCCTTAATGGCTTCCAGCCTTGGAGTTCTTGTCATCGCGTCAATTATAACCCCAGAGATGAGGAAGCGTGCCTTGAGGCAATGCTCTGCAGCTGCGTCAAGCTGTAGATGTCACAGGCAAGAAATCTCCAGGCAGCGTCCCTGGTGACGTTGCTCAGCTCTTCTTCCTTTTACTGGGGGCCCGCTGCAGCTTCCCAGTCTGTGTCACTGGACCATACTGGGGGCCAACTCCCTCTTTTTTCTCTGAAGCTTCGTTTCCTACTTAGAACCGTTTTCCCTTTCCCAGACAGGCTCTTTGTTCGCTGGTAAACCCATTTCTCCAGGGTGTACATCTTTTTTCCTCTTGGCTCCTTTCGGTTTGCCCACACCTGCTTTTTATCTCGCTAGAATTTCTCCTTCTCCGGGAGAAGACAGCTGAGGGAACTTTACGCTTGCAGATGGCTTTTGCCCAAAGCCTTGCCCAAATCTGCTCACCTAAGCCGTGGCAAGAGGGGCGACCTCTCGCTTCCAAGAGTCGGTGTTGAGGGCGGCCAACGGGATCGGTTGACTCTGTGTCTCCAGTCGTGTTGTTTTTCACGAGGGGGTCTGCCTTTCCGCCGGCAGGAGGAAGATGACGAAGACAAGTTCGAGCTGATGCAGCAGACGACGCTGCCGGGCGGCCCGGCTTCGCTCTCGTTCTACAGGGCCAAGATGAAGACCGAACAAAAGGTAACATCACCTGAGCTTAGCAGGACTTCAAAAAGATCGTGTGTTTGAGAGTAACAGGGTTGCACCACTATATCCGTAAATATTTTTTTAAGGAAAACATCTCTAAACCAGCTCTTCAGTGCTCAGGGTGACAATTTTCCAGGACTTCTTGTGTCCCCTTTGCCCCTGCCGGCTTTTGCCACCGGTAGAGCAATGCTGGTGTGATGGGACTCCTTCAGGCAGCTTTTCCCAGCACCACTTGGCAAGGTGGTGCCTTTTTTAAACTATTTTTTGGAAGAAAAAAAAAAAGCTTTGACAGGTGAGAATTCCACTCTGGAAAAAATAAGCTGAGGTGAATTAATTCTTTTTGGTTTCCCAGCACACGTACGCCAGAACCATGTTGTCCCTTGAGAAAATGCAGAAGAAACCCGGCGTCCTCACCGCTGCTGGGAAGAATAAAACCCTGATGTTCCTGCAGGTCATGTAGCACATTTGGGCTCAGCCTGGTGCCCGGCATTCTGTAAATGATGTCAGCTCAGAAAGTGCCTTGTATTTGTGTCCACAGTCCGTTTGTCAAAAATAAATAGTCTGAAAAAAAAACCCAAATGGAAACCACCTCACTTTTGTACAGC